GGGTGGGGTGTGTGTGTGAGAAACAAACCACTCTGGCAGTCTAATGAACACTACAGACCCTTCACAGAATGTTTTTAAATGCACAGGACTTAAAACACACAGGACTAAATATGAAATCAATTGAAAAATACTTATCAGGCTTCCCTGGTGGTGCTGTGGTTAAGAATCTGCCTGCCAACACAGGGGACACAGGTTTGAGCCCTGGTCTGGGAAGATCCCACATGCCGCAGAGCAACTAAGTCCGCGAGCCACAACTACTGAAGCCCGCGTGCCTAGAGTCCACGCTCCGCAACAAGAGAAGCCACTGCGATGAGAAGCCCGCTCACTGCAACAAAGAGTAGCCCCCACTCGCCGCAACTAGAGAAAGCCCGCAAGCAGCCACGAAGACCCAACACAGCCAAAACTAAATAAATAAATTTATAAAAAAAGAAAAATACTTATCAAATATTTTAGAAATAATTTTGTGATATAGTAACATATATACACCTTTATAAGTGTATTAAAAAGCAAAATTGAGCTGAAGTTCTAATAAATAATGAAGTTTTGAAGTACAGAGAAGTACAATAGTATTTCGAGATATCATGATCACTCTGTTGTGATAATGACAATGTCAGTGATTTCCACTGACGCTAAAATCACAGAGTATTGCTGATGGTACTGGTTGTCGCCTATGTTCATAATCAGAGAAACACTAAACTTCAGTTAGAGGTTAATGAAAATAAAAGTGTAATTTTTATTCCCATCCATGTCTACAAACCCCCTGATTTCTATTCAAGGATCCCTAGGTTAAGAACCTCTGCTTTAAATTTGAGTTACCTCAAGGCTTACTCCTGAAAAACCTTCTCTTCTCTAAGTATACTCTCGCTGGTTCCTTTTTATTTTAACGTCATTTATATATTGATGATGACCAAATTTATATATGCATGTCCAATCTTTCTCACGAACTCCAGACTCTTATGGCCAACGGCTCACTTACTATCTCCACCTGATGTCACTGCCAACACAATGTACATGAATGCACCTCCTAAAGGTTTCCCATTGCACTAACACAAAAATCTAAATTTCATGAAAGCACTGCATGAACTGGCTCCTCTCCAAACTCATCTCATACTACTTTCCTCACCATCAAACCCTCCCACCCGCCAGTCACTGCCCTGCAGCCACACTGGTGCCCTTCTCTTCTCTGTGTACCAAAGCATTTCCCAGCTTAAAAACCTTGTGTTTCTGTATCCTCTGTTGGGAACCCACTTCTCCCAGACTTTTGCCAGGCTGGCCCATCCCCATCCTTCAAGCCTCAGCCAAATGTACTGGCCTTCCCCGACCACCTGCCTAAGGAACTTCTGAAATCCCTATTCCCACCACAGGGATTGCTTTCAATCTCTATTAACCCAGTTTTGTTTGTTTGTTTGTTTGTTTTTTCCTCCCTCAGAAGCACTTACAACAATCCACAATGATCTTGTTTAATTATTTGTTTCCTTGTTTATGGTTCATTATCTCACTAGAACATAAGTGCCATGCTCCATCGTCCACTGCAGTATTCCCAGAGCCTGAGACAGTGTTTGGCACATATGGCACCTCAATAAATGGATAAATGATGAGTGGACCTCAACTCTAACCCAGAGATGTTTGTTTTAAAGCTTCTCCTTATCTGAACTTTTGGTACATTGTAACACTGCATACAGGCATTAAAGGATCTCTTCCATTACTAAACCTCTGGACCCTGAGTCACTCTACTATATCCAACAGCAAAAGGCCAAACGAATCCCAGGATTCCACAGATCTCATATTTCAACCCATCAAAAGGTGAAACATTCTAAAATAAAAGGACCACAGGTTTTCACCAAGTGACTTGTAGAGCAGACAAGGAAATAAAGGTCAAAAACCTGTGACAATGCCTAATGCTAGAACGTAAACGCCCAGACCTTCCATTCTCAATGGAATACGCTTCCAGTGCCTGCTGATGCCATCCCAACACAGCTTTCCAGGCACTAAATTCGTATTTCCTGTTGCCTATTGCACATTTCCACCTGAGTCCCACAAACACTTCAAATTCAAAGAGTTCGGACTGAACTCTTTCCTACCTCTACCTCCTCCTGAACTCACTTCTTCCTGAAAAATGACGCCAGTATCTACCATAAACCCAGGAAGGGAAGTCATCCTTCCTTCATCTCATAAATCCACATCGTCCTTTGAACATCTTTGTAACTTGTCCTCGCTTTAAAGCCACTGCCTCTGACTTGACCCAGCCGTGACCAACTGACAGATTCATTTATGTGTCCCCAGGTCTTCGAGCGTGGCTCTTGCCCTGGAACGCAACTGCCAGGGCTGAGGACCTTCGGGGTCCTCTCTGAGCATACCCTCCTGGTTCACACCTCGCAGCGCAGCTAGAGCGGGCCTGGTCCCTGGGCTCCCCGACCCATACCTTGGCTGGGTTGGTCAAGACCTCCTTCATGTACTCGGCCACGGTGATGGGACCAGTAGACTTGATTTTGTACATAAGATGCCGCAGCATAGGGGTCACCGGGTAGTTTTCTGCCGGCTCATTCCCGGAGCTGAAGTACTTTCCTCTCCAAAGACAAGAAAAGACTGTAGAAAACACACATTAAACGGCATTCATTAGAAACCTTAGTACTGGCATCTGCACAGCAGCCGGAGTGATTTCAAAGCGGCTTCGTCAACCCTTCACCTCGGCCAAAGCCAGGAAAGCGGTCTCGGGCCCTCTGCACGCCCAAAGGGCGCAGCAGGCACGCACTTGGCCAAAGACCACACAGCTGTTTCGTGTCTGACGCTGGACTCCAGGCTGCAGCCCAGAGCGCCCTGGAGCCCCCTCAACTGGAGAAGGCGCCCCGGGCGGTTTCCGCGGCAACGGGGGCTCGGGCACCGCAATTACTTACCTGCGCGCACGGCGTACAGCCGCCCAGCGCCTACCGTAGCCAAGACGCTCATGCCAGAGTCCGGACGCAGCTGCAAGACGCCCGTAGGTGGGGAGTGCTCCTATTTCCGGGGGAGGACACGCCCCCTGCAGGAAGTACGTCACCCGGCCAAGCGGAAGGAAGCTTTGGGCCGTGCGCGTGAGCTTTGCTTGCCATGGCGGCTGCTAAGAAACCTTTGGAGTTCCACGCCAAGCGGCCCTGGCTCCCGGAGGAAGCGGTGGAAGATCCGGATGAGGACGACGAGGATGCTAACGATGAAGCCGACGATGGGTTCTCCCTGCAGGAGGTGTTACGGCTCGGAGGCACCAAGGTAATGGCCTTGGACTCCAGGAGAAGGGAGACACAGGCGCGTGGAGTGGTCCCGCGAGTGGCGCGGGCAAGTGGCGCGGCAGCCCCCGAGCTGCAGAGTGGGAGGGCGTCGTGGACCCAGATCCCAGTTTCGAAATGTGCTCGGTGCGCTTCCCGCACTTCTTTCCCATTGCTCTTTGCAAGAGAAAAGTCGTTTAGAATTGAACGTTTTTATGCCGTGTCTTTTCCTAGGATGTAGGCGTCATCTCGTTTTATTGACGTAGTATAACTGGCACTCCATCAGGTCGGAGAGGACTGACTTTTTTTTGGTCCTGACCTCGTGGTATCAGTGTTTGGAGCCCCACTGGTATTGGAATTTAACTACTATTCTCACAAAGTACACCCACACGCTCAGTTTACGCCCAAGAAGCTCTCTGCGCTCTTGGAATTTACATCCTAATTAAGGCAAAGAAACAGTAACCAAACTTCGGAATACATTGTATATCAGACGCTGAGTGGAGAAAATTAAAACGGGGAGGGAGGATAATAAATGGAAGAGGCGTTACAGTTTTAAACGAGGTGATGGGGGACCCACCCCTGAGTTTTCGAGCAGAAAATTGAAGGAAAGAAGGGAGTGACTTTTGATTTTGTAGTTCCAGGAACAATAAAAATAGTGCAAGTGAGGTGAGAGGAGAGCAGTAAGAAATGAGGTCAGACATGGAAGCAACCTAAGTGTCCATCGACAGATAAATGGATAAAGAAGATGTGGCACATATATACAATGGAATGTTACTCAGCCATGAAAAAACGAAATTGCGTTATTTGTAATGAGGTGGATGGACCTAGAGTCTGTCATACATGGTGAAGTAAGTCAGGAGAAAAACAAATACTGTATGCTAACACATATATATGGAATCTAAAAAAATAAAATGGTTCTGATGAACCTAGGTGCAGGACAGGAATAAAGACGCAGATGTAGAGAATGGACTTGAGGACACGGGGAAGGGGAAGGGTAAGCTGGGATGAAGTAAGAGAGTAGCATTGACATATATACACTACCAAATGTAAAATAGATAGTGGGAAGCAGCCACATAGCACAGGGAGATCAGCTAGGTGCTTTGCGACCACCTAGAGGGATGGGATAGGGAGGGTGGGAGGGAGATGCAAGAGGGAGGAGATATGGGGCTATATGTATATGTAGAGCTGATTCACTTTGTTATACAGTAGAAACTAACACAACATTGTAAAGCAATTATACTCCAATAAAGATGTTTAAAAAAAAAAAGAAATGAGGTCAGAGAGGTAAGGAGATGGGCTTATGTTCTGAATTTGATGGGAAACCTTAGAAGATTTGTAGCAAATATGTGACAGAGCTTTGCTTTTTATTAAATGTTTTGTTTTCAGACTAGACTTTCTGGGCAACATGGGGAGGGGGAGGATGAGCGATTAGAGGCAGGAGAAATGCAGCTTACTGGGGCAGATTCAGTTTGCTCTGTACTTGGGTTGTATTTATTTATTTACATCTTTATTGGAGTATAATTGCTTTACAATGGTGTGTTGGTTTTTGCTTTATAACAAAGTGAATCAGTTATATATATGTTCCCATATCTCTTCCCTCTTGCATCTCCCTTGTATTTAATTTTTGAGTACATAATATATGCACATGTTACGAAAAGGTTTGTTTTGGTTTTTGCTTTGTTTTGTTTTGTTTAAAGGAGGGAGGTACAGGATGAAAAATCTTCTTTCCCACTTTTATCTCCAGCCATGCAGTTTCCTCCCAGGAAGCAATTATTTTTGTGTCTTCTATGTCTTCCAAGCAAATACACACACACACCTATGTTTGTTATTTTTTACACAAAAGGTACCATACTATATAATATTTTAAGTCTTTTTTTTCTTACTGTTTTATTAGAGATCCCTGCACATCAGTATAAAGTTCTGTCTTTGGTTTTATGCCCATAACATCATTTTCTTAATTTATCTAACTGGCGATTTATTGTGGATATTTAAGTTGTCAATCTTTTGCTATTTTAAATAATGCTTCAGTAAGTAACCTTGAACATATATATCTTTTTCCACATTTGTAAGTGTATGCATAACCTAAATTTATAGAAATGGAACTGCTGGGTCAAAGGATGTGTCTTGTATTTTGACTGAAGTTGACAAATTGCTCTCCATAGATATGCCAGTTTATACTTCCATCAACCATTTAGGAAAGTGTCTTTTCCTCCACCCTTTCCCCAACACCACCTGTCTTAATTTTATCTTTGCTTCTCTGGCAGATTAAAAAATAGATGTATCATTATGGTTCTGATTTGGACTTCTTTAAATGTCAGTGAGGTTGAGCATCTTTTCACATTTTTAAAGAACCACTTTTTTTTTCTATGAACCGTTTGTTTATATCCTTTGCACATCTTTCTGTTTGTCACTTCCTTAACTGATGTATAGGAACTTTTATATTACATATTAAGCCAAATTACTTTGATATGAGTTGCCAGTTGTTTTTTCCAGCTTATTATTTGTCTTTCAATTTTTGTATATGTTTTGTGTGTAAGAGAATGATAAATATATCCATTCTTTTCTTTATGGACCCTGAGTTTTATGTCACATTTGGAAAGATTTTTCCCTTCTCTGGAATTATTTTTTTATATTAAAAATTTTTATTTTATTTTTATTTTTTAAAGTTATTTTTGATACAGACCATTTTTAAAGTCTTTATTGAATTTGTCACAATATTGCTTCTGTTTTATGTTCTGGGGTTTTTTTGGCCACAAGGCATGTGGGATCTTAGCTCCTCAACCAGCAGATTGAATCCACACCCCCTGCATTGGAAGGCGAAATCTTAACCACTGGACCGCCAGGGAAGTCCCTGGAATTATTTTTTTAATTATGCTGTGCTTTCTTCTATTACTTTATGGCTTTATTTTTCACATTTAAATCTTTGATCTATCAAGTAAGTACTTTGGGTGTAGGTGGGAGCCTAGGCAATATTGTGATAGCTCAATTTCATGGACAATTGATTTCAAGGATATAGATATCAAATTAACTTTTGAGGTTTTAACTAAACTGTTGGATTTGTAACTTATTTTTAACTTATATTTTTATGCAGCAAGATTACCTTATGCTGACTGCTTTGGATGAGAATGAGGAAGTGGTGGATGGAGGCAAAAAAGGAGCAATTGATGATCTTCAGCAGGGTGAATTGGAAGCATTTATTCAGAAGCTTAGTTTAGCCAAGTATGCAAAAGCTTTCTTAATTGAAGAAGATCAACCAGCTAAAAAACAAGAAGCCAGCAAAAAAGAAGCAAGAGTATCTAAAGTAGATAATAAAAAGCAAAATACAGTAGAAAGTGAAAGTAAGGTGAAAAATAAGAAGAGGCCAGAACAACATTCTGATGAGAACAGCAGTGCCATAACAAAGGCAAAGAGAGATAAGCAACAGGATATCTTTGAATTTTTTGAGAGACGGACATTGTTACTTAAGTCTGGAGGCAAATGGTATGATCTGGAGTATAGCAATGAATACTCTTTGGGACCCCAGCCTCGGGATGTTGTGTCTAAGTACAAAACCTTGGCTCAGAAGTTGTATGAACATGAAGTCAACTTATTCAAAAATAAGACAAATAATCAAAAGGGAGCCTCTTCTACCTGGATGAAGGCAATTGTGTCATCAGGGACACTAGGTGACAGAATGGCAGCCATGATTCTTCTTATTCAGGATGATGCTATTCACACACTACAGTTTGTAGAAACTCTCCTGAACCTTGTTAAAAAGAAGGGCAGCAAACAGCAGTGCCTCATGGCTTTGGATACTTTCAAAGAGTTACTCATTACAGACCTTTTGCCAGACAGTCGAAAGCTACGGATTTTCAGCCAGCATCCTTTCAACAAACTAGAACAGTTGTCCAGTGGCAACAAGGACTCAAGAGATAGAAGACTTATATTATGGTATTTTGAACACCAGCTGAAACACTTAGTGGCTGAATTTGTGCAAGTCTTAGAAACTTTAAGTCATGATTCATTAGTAACCACCAAAATTCGAGCCCTTGTAGTGGCTCATGAGCTTCTTTGTAACAAACCCGAGGAAGAAAAGGCCCTTCTTGTGCAGGTGGTAAATAAACTGGGAGATCCTCAGAATAGAATAGCCACCAAAGCCTCCCATCTGCTGGAGACATTGCTTTGTAAACATCCCAATATGAAAGGAGTTGTGTGTAGTGAAGTAGAAAGACTGCTTTTCCGCTCAAATATTAGCTCCAAAGCCCAGTATTATGCAATTTGCTTTTTAAATCAAATGGCCCTCTCCCATGAAGAAAGTGAATTAGCTAACAAACTAATAACTCTTTATTTTTGTTTTTTTCGGACTTGCATCAAGAAAAAAGATATTGAGTCAAAAATGCTCAGTGCCCTTTTAACAGGAGTGAATAGGGCATATCCCTATGCCCAGACTGGTGATGACAAAGTGAGGGAGCAGGTTGACACGCTGTTCAAAGTGCTGCATATTGTGAATTTTAATACCAGTGTGCAGGCTTTAATGTTGCTCTTCCAAGTAATGAATTCTCAGCAGACGATATCAGATCGATATTATGCAGCATTATATCGGTAAGTACCTACTATTCCAGTGTGTGAATGAGAAGTAATGTGGTCTAATATAACGCAGTGCCCCTCTGTGGGGCAATAGAAAGAAAGTAGGATTTTTGGCCCCTCTCAGCAACTTGCTATTCACCA